ATTGATCGAGGTCATGGTGGTAGGTTGTTCTGTTGGTTGGCAGACCTGTTGTGTTGAACCAGGGTGACATCAAATTGGCATGGTTTTGGCAGGCCTCTGTTTTGTGGAAAGGAGGTTGCATTATTGACTGTGAAGAGAATGCCTTGTAAACAAGTTGAGATAGGCCAAGGTGATGGTGAGGGATGGTAGGCCTGTTTTATGAAAAAGAGGTTGTGGTATTGACTGCAAAAGGAATGCCTTGTAAACAAGTCAAGGTCAGCCAGGGTGATGGTAGAGGTTGGTAGACCTGTTCTATGGAACAGAGGTTGTGGTGTTAACTGTGAAGGGAATGCCTTGTAAATCAGTTGAGGTAGGCTGAAGTGATGTGGGGGCTGGTAGGCCTGTTCTATGGAACAGAGGTTGTGGTGCAGGGTTGATTTCTGTTGGTTGATATTTGTTGAGGTGACAGCATCCTCGATGATGATGGCTTGTAGGTAGGTGGTGTCAAGGCTGGATAGTCAGCCGCTCATTGCTGGCGTTTGTCAAAGTGATGAGGTTGGTGTCGATGAAGGCTTTTAGTTGGGAGTAGTCGATGTTGATATGTTTTCAAGTTGAAGTTGAATAGCCGAGGTGATTGGCCAAGCCAGGGAGTGGTAATGGTTGCTGAGAGGTGTGGTCATTTTGAGTGGTGGTGTGGAAGGTGGTGGAGGTGGTGATGGTGGCAGTGATGACAATGGCAGTGGTGACAGCAGCAACAGCAGCACCCTGCATGACAGCCAGTGGCCATGCCAGGACACAACTATGACAGTTGTTCTCAGAGACCTGCTTTTAAGCAGGTCTGGCAGTCCCCAGTGGCATCTCTTTATCCAGTAGGAATGTTTGTGATTAGCCACGGCTGGAGCACGCTTCATAGACTGAACTTGATGCATGGAGCCTAATGAGCAGGCAATGATTTTTTGTTATTTCATTCTCTACCTTCATGGCATTCAAATCCAGTCAGTATTCAAAATGAATCAAAAAGAGATCTAAATGCAATGGAGTATAATACAGAACTGCCAATAATCTCTAGAACCAAACTTGTGAGAGGATATATTGTGTCTCATTCTATCAGCAAATAGCAACTTTGCCAAGCTGAGGAAATGCTTACTCATTATAAGTGGATACAAAGGGACATTTGTTATGATTGGAACTGTCATTTTGTTATACCTAGAAGAAGTGATTCCTGTGGGCTATAGCAGCTGAACAGTCAGGAGTGAACCAAGAAGAACATTGCAATTTCAGTTTGTATTTTCATGCTATTAGGAAATCTTTGATGTCAGCCTTCACCTAAGAAGAGAACTAAGTGGCACAATTTTCAGTGTGTAAATTAAAAATTTAATTCCATGAGGTGTCACGAAGAAAATCATGAAATGAATCTTAATCAGTGTATTGGTGACAAAATATGTCCTGTAAATAGAGGATTATTACTTAATAGTTGAGTGGAAAGAAATATATACACATTACAGAGTGGTCAATGTTGTCAAGGGGACACAGCTTCAATGTCCAGAGAGGAAAAAAAAGAACAGATCAAGTAATGAAGTGTGTCCTTCAGAATTACTGGGGAAATGAGTAAGGAAATTTACTACTTGAGTGAGAGATCGAGCATTTGAAAAGTTTAGTATGGATGCCAGTGAAATCAGTAGCATTAGAGCGATGAAGCCAATTGACATGATGGACACTGAAGATGCCAAACAAAGATATTTGCACATGAGAGACAGGGCCTTAACTGGACTATCAGAAATTCTATTTAGCAAGCAACAGACCTGAGAAGAAAGTGAACAATAAAGGAAGAAGAAATAACTGAGTTTAATAAAGTCAGAAGCATATATAAGAAAAATGCAAAAGACAGTTACTTTGGTTCAGATGTTAACAAACAGACACTGAATGGGGATACTAGAATCCTTTTGATAGAGTGAAAGACAGTCAAGGACAGAGAATTCAGTGGTAGAGATTGAAAAGTTTAGATTAGTTCCTGATATGTCCCGGAAAGGGATATATTTGTTCGAAGTAGCAAAGTGATTGTTCGCTACAGTAACCGGGTAGGACAATTTAGCAGGTAACCATAATGGACTGGTCCTTGTCGTAGTGGTAGGCAATAGGCGTAGGCTATAAGTGAAGATAATAGGCGTCCACCCTGTACCTCCACATCAGTCTGTATTTATGGCTGACACCAGACAATCATATTACTGTGAGAGGGAGCCCAGGTGTATGCATATTCATTATATCAGTTTCACAGAGACCAAGGATGAATGGAGAAGGTTCCATAAGAAATGATTCAGCACTGCTAAAATTGATACAGATACCATGAAAGTTGGCGAATGAAAGCTTGAGGGACTTAGGCGTTTTTTTGCAAGCTGGTTTGGTTTTATTTTGTTAATTGTTTTGGTCATGATATAGCTTCAAGGTGGAAGAGGTGAAGAGTAATATATGAATTAAGAAAAGTTCCACTGACTTATCTTCGCAGTCAGTTCAAGTTTTGCCATTGAGATGCTCATCAGGGTCCGATTCTTTGATAAATTGATAGAACTTATCAGATACCATATTTATTCTATTTCTGAACAAACAAACAATAATTCTAACTTTCAAATGTGAAATGTAAAAGTCTCAACACACAAGAGTTTCAATAGAAAAGTCACCAGGTTTAAATTTAGAACCAGTTAATTTACACACACACACACACACACACACACACACACACACACACACACACACACACACACACACACACACACACACTTCTTTAGTCTCCTTTTTTTTCACCCTACCGTTCTTTTTTAGACCCACTAGAGTGACAGGGTGTAATCAATTTTTATTTTTTCCTCAGAATAGGTCATTTGCAATGGTGTGCAGTAATATAAATCCATTATTCGGGGTGTATGATGAAATTTGTTTGACCTTGAAAAATATTGCAACATCCATGTTTGCATCAGATTTTCATCATGCCCAGACACTATTATCTCAACTGTCGATTAGTTGTCTTATGGCCATTGTCTCCAATGCACATTACCCCAAGGAAGCATACAAAAATTGTAATGTTCACACTAGCAAGCCTTACCAGTGAGCAAATCAAAGTACTATAGACTGGCATGGAAACTCTCCTGATTTAAATTTAATCAAGAATCTGTGGTCAATCTGCAAGGAATTACTTCATGGAATGTATATACAAAATACTAACATGTGCATTGGGCCATGTTTTATTGGAAAAATATGAAAAAAGTAAATAACATTAGTTTCGTTTCAATTAATTTGCACAAGGGTGTATATATGTAAACATTTCGGAGGAGTATATCTGTAAAGGGACAATATGAATAAGGACAAAAGTAAAATGTATCTTTGCTGTCATATTTCGTCATCTGAAGGACTTTATCAAGGCAAATATAAGGATTATATTTTGAAAAACCAATAACATTTCTGCTCCTGTATATAAATACTTGTCACAAAATAAAATCCTTACTTTTGCTTGACAGAGTCCCTCAGGGGATGAAATGTGTCAGCTAAGGTAAGTATATATATATATATATATATATATATATATATATATATATGTGTGTGTGTGTGTGTGTGTGTGTGTGTGTGTGTACTCTGTGAGGGTGATTTCTTTTATGGTTTGTTTGTTTTTTGGACATTTTTCCTTGTGTGATAGATATTAATTTTGGTTTCAGCTTTTCTTTACTCGTTCTTAGAACAATCTGAAGATCACTTTGCATGTGAAATTGATAGTCATGGTAAAGATTCATGTTTCTTCTGTTTTGGATTTTGTTATTTATTTCTGGATTGGCTGGGTTTTGGATTTACCGCTCTGGACGATAGAATATTCTCTGCCTTTGCTGAATATAGATAGGTTTTCTAATTTTATTTAGCCAAGCTTATTTTAATTTTTACTTTGATCATACTTATCCTATATGTCTGCACACACACACACACACACACACACACACACACACACACACACACATATATATATATATATATATATATGCTCGGAATAACTTTTGATAGGTTCAGTTGCAGCTTTTCTTGTCACTGGGTTATATCAGATGATGCTTAGAGTTATTTATTCATGTTGTAGAAAATATCACATGTTCAAAATCAAATAGACAGTCATCATATATAGCCATCTGTCTTCTAGGGTGGCTAGCAAATCCCTACTGCAGGTGCCTGCTCAAGCACATTTGCATTTTTTCAATACCCACAGAGCCTACCTGTGCTTTACACTGCAACTATGCTGAGCAAATCTTAGTTACAATTTCTGAGAGAAAGTATAATTTGGTATGATCAACTGCTTGAACAAGGCTAGTGTGTAGAATAATTAATATGCATTTCTTTTATGCAGCAAGTATTTATTTTTCAACAGAATCTCCTTCTTTATCAATGTCTGTTTATTAATATTGCTTCTCTCTTAATGCCATATCAAACATTATACAGTGAAATTTTCAGATCAGAATTCACCTAATAACTTTGTTAGACTACAGACTTACAGATCCTTTCCTGTATGTATATTGAGGTACATCAATAAATTCATGTCCTAATTATGAGTAATGTACTTAAGATAAATAAATGATTTAAGAAGTTCTTTTATTTTCAGATGCTCTGTATGTTGGCCAACTCAAGCAATTTAAGATAATCAGGCTGAAATATCACACTATTCCAGTTACTTTGATGATTTTTTTATCTGATTTTACTATAAATGTCTTTAGATATTAACAATTAGATATTAATGATGTTGCAATAAGCAGGAAGATGTTATAGCAATATTTGCAAGTGAAAATCATTATTCCGTGTTTTATTGAATCAATTTGATTATAATTTTTTTTGTTTAGCTTTTAGTTTGATTAACTGGACATTACATAGGCAACTATATTATTCACTTCAATATCAGGAATTAATGTCTGCAAAAATTACCAACCAATATTCGAAAACTTCAGTTATGTCTTATCTACTTATATCAAAACTTATTAAGTTGCATTTCATCTCCAAATGTCATGGTGTTCGGTTCAAATCATGTTAGGTAATATATTATTTTTTAAGGTAATGGATTTTTATTTATCAATCCAGCAGGTTTTTATCACTTTAAACATTATTTTTAGTCGATAAAAAATCTGTTGGAGTGATAAATAAAAATCTGTTATCTTAGAAAATTGCTTTGTGTATGTTTCAATGTAAAACTGAATAGATATGAAAATTTCAAGGAATTTGATATGAGAAGGATTTCATTTAAAGGCACATTTCAGACCTTGCTTGATCAGCAAGGCTGCTTTGTAGCTGAGTTGGTTAAGGTATGTTGAATCTAACAGCAGTTTACTTCTGCCCAGTGGGACACAGGTTCAAATCCTACCAGAGAGCATATATTTTTCTTTAGTAAAATTTCTCAATATTCAGGCTGGTAGATAAAAATAAATAAATATACTTGTGGGGCAAAGACAGAAATAAACACCAAGACAATCAATCATGAAAGAAAAAAAAAAGGTTTCTGTGTCAGATGATCGCATTCTTCTGGTTAATAAATTAATCCTTTGAAAATCAATATTTAACATTTTTCCACGAATGGTTGCATTCCCACCAACAATAAAAAAAATGTGCTTCATGATCCCTTTGAAAAGTATTTAAGAAAATTCATCAAGCCAGACAGGTCAGTAAAGAGAAGAAGCAGCAACATGCAACATTAGTTCATGATATCATGGCTTAACAGAGATTCCTTTACTCATTCATCCATCTCCAAGCTACATGGCATTTACACTGTTCCTCACCAAGCTACATGATATTTGCACTCTTACTCACTAACCTACATGACATTTACACTCTTCTTCACAAAGCTACATAACACTTACACTCTTCCTCACCAAGCTATGTAACATTTACTCTCTTCCTCACCAAGCTACTTGACACTTACACTTTCCATCTCACTTTCTCCCTTGCCTCTTTTTTCACACATACACATGGAGAAATCACATTCCTTTTCATCTTAATAAACAGCTACAAACAAGGAACTTTAATGCAAGAACTTTAATACTTTAATGTTGGGAAAAATTAAGTTGTCAAAACATGAAAATAATAATATTTTATATTTTTATACTTAAAAACCTTTCTTGAATTTTACTTTGTTGTGGGTTTATTGAGATCAGTAACATACTCTTTAATAAATAGATGGAGTGTCTTCTCAAATATGAGTATCCACTGAAAATAACATGTAAAGTGATAAAAATAATATATTATTTAAAAGTTATTGTCCTTGCATCCCGGCTGTAAAATTAAGTCATGCAGTTCAATAAAGAAAGTTGATCGAAACTTGTGCTAAATGCTTTACTGTTCACATCAGAATAAACAAGATTCCTTTATAGCATTCTTTGACTATTGAAGTTTGTCTATATATCTCTCCCTCACCCTGTTGATCTATTTGTCTCAACATCTATCCCTCTCTACAGCTAGTTGTCTGTCTGTCTCTCCCCTTGTCTCTGTCTCAGTGACTCAATATCTATTTCTCACTCTCCTGCTCTCTATCTCTCTAATTGTATCTGTCTCTCAATTTCATTCTCTATCTCTCTTTCTCTGTCTCTCTGTCTGTCTATCTCTTTCTCTGAATCATTGTCTATCTATCTATTTCTATCTGTCTGTCTTTCTGTTGTATTGTCCATCTCTCTATTTCTCGGTCTCTCTGTTTGTCTCTCTGTCCCTTTCTCCTTTTCTGTTTCTCTGTATATTTCTTTATCTCTGCATCTTTTCTCTGTTTTTGTCTACTCCTCTATCTCTTTCTCTGTCTTATTGTCTGTCTCTCTATTTCTCTCCCTATCTTTCTGTCTGTCTATCACTCAGTTTATCTATTTTTGCATCTGTCTATCTATTTACCTGCCTCTTTGTTTCTCTTTCTCTATTTACCTGCCTCTCTGTTTCTCTTTCTCTATTTATCTGTCTCTCTGTTTCTCTTTCTCTATTTATCTGTCTCTCTGTTTCTCTTTCTCTATTTATCTGTCTCTCTGTTTCTCTTTCTCTATTTATCTGCCTCTTTGTTTCTCTTTCTCTATTTATCTGTCTCTTTGTCTATTTATCTATCTCTCTGTTTCTCTTTCTCTATTTATCTCACTGTTTCTTTGTTTCTCTTTGTCTCTTTCTCTATCTGTCTCTGTTTCTCTTTGTGCATTTCTCTTTTTATTTGTTTCTCTTTGTCTATTTCTATGTCCATCTCTCTCTCTCTCTTTTGGTCTGTCTTTCTGTCTATTTTTCTGTCTCTCTGTTTCTCTTTCTCTCTTTCTCTGTCTATATCTTTCTCTGTCTATTTCGCTGCATGTTTGTTACTTTTGTTCAGAATTAGTGAATTCTTTGTGAACAACAACAAAGTTTTAGAGAAAATAGAAACAAAAAGGAAACTTATACTTAACATCAATATCTAGGGCACATAATGAGGAAAGCAGGCTTAGAAAATCTGGTACTCACAGGACAGATTGAAGACAAGAGGGACAGAGGGAAACAATGCATAACATAGTTAATGAGCTTGAGTAAATGCATGATGGAACAAGGTTTAGCAGAGATAACAAAAAGACAAAATTTATTAAGGACAGGAAGCTGTGGTAAGCCATGATCACCTATATCTTGAAGGGAGAAAAACAATTCTTGTTAAGCTATTCCAAAAGATTCTGTCTGTTCTACACTTGGTAAATGGAAATAAATGTCAATGAGATTTTTAAAAGATAAATTGTTGCAGTTGATATATTGGCTTGCACACAGTTATTTATATTTAATGATGGATGACAACACAGTTATTTATATTTAATGATGGATGACAACACAGTTATTTATATTTAATGATGGATGACAACACAGTTATTTATATTTAATGATGGATGACAACACAGTTATTTATATTTAATGATGGATGACAACACAGTTATTTATATTTAATGATGGATGACAACACAGTTATTTATATTTAATGATGGATGACAACACAGTTATTTATATTTAATGATGGATGACAACACAGTTATTTATATTTAATGATGGATGACAACAACAAAAAAATGAAGACTTGCAAAAATATATATATTTCCAAGTTTATTTTCATTAAAGAAAATACATCAACAAAAATAAGGTCATAGGGCACTAGTCAAAACATATCTCTGTATGTTTATGTAGAGGATGAGAAGAGTGTTGTTGTAAAAAGGACAGTTTATTGCATATTGTTGCTGTTTGAGTAGCAGAAGCTGGCGGCATACTGAGGATGGTTGAAGTGGTAGCCGAATGCAGGCTGGAGCTGCAGGTGATCATAGCTGGCTGTAAATGTTTTGATGCTTTGAGGCCTTTTTATATCTTAGAGGGAGGTGACGGCGCGTCTGTGAGAAAGTGACTATAGACGAGACGCCAGGGCAGGGCCAACCATATTGCATATCCGCCTCTGGAGACTATCAAGAACCCCGAGGCAAACAGAAGGGGCGCCAGACCATATATGGCAGCAATACTCCATGCAAGGGTGAATTGTGGATTTGTATATCTGGAGGATCGAAGCCATCTCTTCTACTCTAATAGCTTCATGTCTCGCACCTCTCGCCTGTGGAACTCCCTTCCCCTCTCCTGTTTCCCTGTGAGCTATAACCTCCAGCTATTCAAGTGTAATGTCAATCGACATCTCCAGTTGCCTTAATCTATCCACTACCCTCATCCTTTCTTCTATCACTCCTATCTGATCTTGCTATAAATTTTCTGTAACCCCTTGCGTCCTAGTGGCTTCTCACCTTGCTTGGGGTGAAAAAAAAAAAAAAAAAAAGAAAAGTTTTACAATGATAGCTGGTTAAGCTTTTTCTTCTGGTTGTTTTTAAAAAATGTGGGACTACTGACAGGATACGACAAAATCAAGGATAACACAATGTTTTTTTTTTTTTTTACTTAAGTTTGTAAATCTTTTGAATGTAATTCCAAGAACAAGATTATTTCAAATACAGATTTACTTTTGCCCATCTATTTCTCTGTCTTTTTGTTTTTCTTGCTCTTTCTCTTTCTTTATTTCTATGTGTAGTGAACAGCCGCATAGAAGCAAGTGAGCCAGAGTGACTTGCATCTGGTGCATAGGAAAATAAGGGTTTTACCTTAACTTGCTGCATGTGACATCAGCAAGTTTGCTCTGTGAAAATGGCATTACTCTCACATCTAGCAATTGTAGCAGTATGTGCGGTAACAAGGGTTTTTGTACAGTTTGGCATGCTTCCACCAATAGCAAGTCATAAGCTGATTGGTTGAACTGGAGGAGGCTATTTGCCTGGGTAACTGGGAATAAAAGGAAAGAACGCTGATTGGTTGGTTGACCGCGGTGTTGGCCTGATAAAAGAGGGCTGAAGCAGTGAGAATGGAAGAAGAAAAAGTCAGATTTAAGTGGTGAAGTGTTCAGAAAGCAAGAATGGTGAATTGAACCAGCAGTATCTTGATTTGTAAAAGTGACATCATAGTAATAGAGACTCATTTAAACTCCACTATGTCTCTTTGCTTCTCTTTGTCTATTATTCTGTCTATCTCTTTGCTTTATTTCTCTTTCTCTGTATCTATTTCTTTGTCTCTTTGTTTCTCTTTCTCTTTCTCTATTTCTCTATCTCTATCTGTTTTTGTCTGTCTTTCTATCTGTCTATTTCTTTGTCTCTGTTTCTTTTTCTTTTTCTTTCTTTCCCTGTTTATTTCATTACATGTCTGTATCTTCCCAGCTATAGAGTATCAGGTCACAGCTGTTGTAGTTTCTATAGGTTTTCTTTTTTTTTTACATAGGATGGAGTTGCTATCCCCATGCCCAACTGGTTCGAAATTTAGAGTTATCCTTCTCCTAGACTAGTGGCCAACAAAGGTTGAAGAGCACAGTCTGCCCTACAATTAAACCCAAAATTGGAGAGAGAAGAGATGGATTCATTGTTCCCCAAGGTGCAATGGTGAATTCAAACTCAGCTCTCAGATTTCTCATTCCTAGCCACTAACCATTAAGCTACACACATCTATTGTTCTAAATGTGTTATTGTGGTGACACCCTAAGTCCTTTGTGTTTCTACTCAATGCTCATGCAGAGTTCCTCCTCTTAATTGGAGTCATTATATAGCCTGGATATTCTGGATAAGTTAATTACCATATTTGATGGCATATAAGATTCACGGGTGTATAAGACGCACCCGAATTTCAGCAGGGAAATTCAAAAAAAATTAGTAATTAGTAAAAGTATTAGTAAATGGTACAGCTTAGGCTATATTTATGAGGTATTATTTTGGTTAAAGAAGCCATGATTACAATTAAATGAAAAATAATAGGAAAAAAGAACACAAGCCTATAAAAACTTTATTATATCCAAAAGTAAGAAAACAAAATAAAAATCAAGCAATTATTGCAATTGTGCAAAACAGTACAGTTACCATTTAAATTTTATTCCTCTTCAAATCCATAAAATCCGTCGCCTTCGTTATCAAAACTCTGATACTCATTTTCAATACTACTATCATTGTCGTTAAATAATGCATCAACTTCTGTTCCATCGAGAGCATTGCCACACTTTTTCAAAAATTTCACAACAATTTCTGGTCTAATATTATCCCAAGCTTGCTTCACCCATTCACAGACTTGTGCACTGCTGGGTCTTTTTATTCTTCCTGTAAGTGTAAGGTCGTGATCAGGCATTGCCATCCACATGTTCCATTGTTCTTTCATGTTTAAGTCTAAGCTAATAGGAGCTGCCAGGTTGCTAATTTCGTCTGACTATCATGAATGTTAAACCTACATATGGCATATAAAATGCAGGAGGTTTTAAAAGATATTTTTAGTAAAAAAAAGTATGCCTTATATGCAGTCGAATATGGTAGTTAATATACATATTGCTACATCTCCTTGTAATGATGAGGTTTTGTGCCCCTTGTTTTCTTGTGCTTCTTCTAACTATCATTCCATCTTCAGGGTTTCTTTCTCTCTCCTGTGATCTTAAGATATTTCTTTCTCTGAGAGATCTCATTTTCTGAATCATATTCTCCCTCTTGATCATCACTTCAGACATTTCATTACTTGAGGGATATTCCTTCATCAGACATTGCAGACTGTAAGGGTAGGTTTTATTTTTGTTCAGCACTATAATTACATGAGGTATTCATGAACATTTCTTCATCAGTTTCCTCTTTGTATTCATTTCAAGGTTTTATTTGACCTTCAAGGACTAGTATGCTACTCCCATTTTTTCTTATTACAGCCGTGGTGTTTCAATTTTGCATTAAAAATTTGCCTTCTCCTTATTTTTCTTGTACCACATTTTCTCATTCATAGAATATGACATGGTTAAAGGAGCCCTGATCTGTCTTCCAATTAAGGCTGGTGGACTTTCTAACCTTCCTGCTGTTGTCATGGTGTGGTAACTTAAAAGCAATCTAAGTAAAAATAACTTCTACATTCTCTTTCTGTTGTGAACATGCCTTTAAGCATCCTTTCAGCTATCCGATTTGATTGAGGATGATATGAACATGTCTTGTAAGACATACATCCTATTTTCCTTAACCATGAATTAATTTCTTCATCACAAAACTCTGGGGAATTAGACACCAGGGTTTTTAGTATCACATTTCTTTATTGTTTCTTAATTTCTTATCCATACATCTACAAAGAATTCTCTAATGATTAAATGTATCCTATTGGCAGTGCCATTCTTGTGAAGTCCTAAGTCCTTCATGTTACTACTCAATGCTCAGGTGTAGTCCTACTTCCTCCTCATAATCGGAATCATTACATGGCCTGTGTATTCCAGATATGTTAATTAGGGGGCACAATTCTATGGGTAAGGGAAACTCGGATGATTTACACCATGGAATTTGTGAAGAGTGGCGCTCTATTCACTCTAGTTAGTTACCTCTTTGTCACTGAGACCTGTTGGTCCAGTGGGTGTGACTCTTGCATCATATCGTAAAAGTCTGGGTCTGATTCTCGGTAGTGAATGCGGACTGCTGATGAATCTGAAAATAGGACAAAATGGCTGTACAGTGCTTCCAGCATTCTGTTGAGGATTCTTCTAGACTCAATGAATTATTTAATTATAATTAATTAATCTACATAACACTACAGCAAAAACCAATTTTGTACCTTATTTATTTTCACCAAATCACAGAGTCTTTCCTCACAACAAAACTGTTATACCGTACCTATGGACTATAATGGGTATGTCCCAATCCTCATAAATACAGGGGAATATACTGTCTGGGGGGATTCTCCACTAGTTCACCAATAGCAGTGAATTACTTACTCCATGTCTCTGGTGAGTCTTGTATGTTGTTAATGTTATAAAGATTACTGTTCTATTTTCAACCTTTGTTTTGGTTATTCTTTATTCAGTAACCTTTTCTAGGTTACAACAAAAAACCAGTTATCAGTAGATAAATATTGGTATATGAGGTTGTTGTATAAATGTAGTACAGAAAAGTAAGTACATATTATGAGGATACATATGATAAGTAACAGTTGAAAAGAACCAGTTAAGATAAAATAGTAATTCTTGGAAAGAATCTGTCCAAATAAAACTTCCTCCTTACTAATGGAATATGAAAGGAATGAGGATGATTCACCACTGTGTCTATGGCACAACAGGTGTTAGTTGTAAATGTGGAACAAGAACTATAGTTTGTCAGAACATTTTCTGTGGAAATAGCAATACAATAGCAAGAGGCTTGAAATGTTGCTTCTGTGACAGAATGGGGAAGGAATAATTCATCACTCACAAGGCCGTGTAAATGCTTTTGAAGTCTGTCAAGGTTGGAAAGAGAGCATTGGATAGCTACAGGCTAGATAGGGCAATAATATTTTTGGTTTGATCTGGCTCTTGTAAATGTGCAGCATGGCGGGTAGATTCAGGTACTTTCTGGACGTACATTGGTATAAACAAGTACGTTAATATCTTTTAGTATTTTACTACTATGTTTTTATAGTATTTAGTATTTTACTACTTTCACAAGTCATGTAGAGAAGTGCTAATGAAACTATCTGAGGTATTTTTTTTTCTCAGCGTGTCACTTACCTGTAATATTTTATGGTAATATTTATTTATAATGGAAACTATAAACTATATATATAATGAATATAATAAGAGTTGACTATTTTTTTACCTTCCATTTATTTTGCAAAAAATAATCCAGTCTCAAAACATAAAAAGTAATAAAAAAAAAATAAGCTTCAAATGATTCTTTAGTCTGGCCTGGACACTGGCTGCCTACCGGCATTTGATGGTTTGCGTACTGGCACCGGTCTGCGGAGCACCACTTTGAGTAGTACTGCTCTACAGCGATTGGGTCAAGATGCAATGTGGGAAAATAAAGCCGTTGGATACATTGCAATAGTCTAGGCCAGTGCTTCTCAAACTATCTGATATGGCAGATCGGCATTTTTTTCTCAATGTATAATGGACCTTTAATATTTCGTGGCAAATTAATTTATACTGGAAACGATATATATGATGAATATAATAAAAGTTGACTATTTTTTATCCTCCATTTATTTTGCAAAAGATTATTCAATATCAACACATGAAAAGTAATAAAAAAATAAGCAGTTTATTAACACAAAAAAAATTATATAACCTTCATCTTTACAAATGATTCCTTAGCATGGCCTGAACACTGGCTGCGTACTGATAGCTGATGGTTTCTGTACCAGCACTAGTCTACAGACCACCATTTTGGGTAGCACTGATGTAGAGTCCAAGTGAATGAAACAATAACAGTTCAACAACGAAAAAGAAGATTCTTCTTAAGCAGTATATTTTTTCTCTCATTCTTTCAGGAGTTAACATTTTGGCAAGGATCCATTAAACTTTAGCAGGAAGTATAGACATTATCAAGGCCACGTTGTAGATCCCAAAGTTATTTTTGCTAATCAGTTTCCTATCTACAGTTCTATATAATTCTTACAGTTTCTTTTTATATTGATTAACCGATACACATTCCACTAATCTTTCTTCTGAATTTATCTAATAAAATTTCCCTATTTGAAGAGATATCAACCCACATACTCTTTTTTTTTTTACATCATGGTTGGTTAGATCTTTGTAAATCATCTTTAATGCACTTTGCTTAATTTCTCCAATAGCTTTGCTCATGGCAAGATCCTGATGTTTGTATGACATACTTAGGGCAGAGAGCAGTAAAAAAATTGGAAAGAAAATGAAAAAAGTTGAGAAAAAATAAGAAAAAAACTAAAAAAGGAACCTGAAAAAGATGCAAAAGGTTAATAATTAGGGAAAAAAAAACAAAAGGCAATAAAAAATGGAATGAATATAGGGAGAAGGAAAATTAGAATAATAGTGAAGAAGTTGAAGGGATGAAGAAAAAAAGAATGAAAAATGAGAAAATAAAAAAGTAATTTAAGAATACAAATTTAAGACAAATGAATGAAAAGAAGAAGAATTAAGAAAATGAAATAAAAAAGAATGGCAGGAGGACATACTAAGAGCAATGAGTGCAGAAGAAAATTGGAAATAATATAAAAAAAAAAAAGAAGTTAAAAACAAGGAAAAAATGTTAATATAGGGATACAAAAAACGGTTATCTCTCTTTGGTGGAGATAAGTTACATAGGTCATATGACGGACCACTTAGTGATGTTACTTTATACAGTGATGAGAGTGGCCAATAATTCACCTTGTTTACAGCAGCTAAACTGAGTAGTTGCTTTCTTAGCTTGGGTCAAAGGGCCTGGACTGTATTTAAATCTGCTTCCCCAGCAAATGCTACAGTTTACAATTCCATGGTGCTTAGTGATGTCATTTTATACAGTGACAAGAATGGCCACTCTTTCAGTAAGTTTACAGAAACCAAACCAGGCAGTTTCTTTTTTAAACTGTGCCAAGGGGCCTGGGCTGAGGCTAAATCTGCTTTCTATAGAAAATGCTACAGTTTATACATCCATGGTGCCATTTCCATTTAGGAATATATCTTTACCAGATAGAGAAAAAATTCCAGCTTGCACTGCTCAATATGTGAAAACCCAAGACTCACCATTTCCTCTTCATAAAATATATCCTTGCCTGGGACATAATAGATGAATCTGGCCCGTTCAAATCTCGAGTCCTACACATGGCTCCTCTAGAAACACAGAACCTCCATATTATATGTTAAACCCTTTCATTCTGTTTTCCTTTCACTCTGCTTAACTATATAGATATATAATATATTATTCTCTGTTTGTGTATGTCTTAGTAAGGTAAAAGTCTCTTTAAGAACAAAGCATGTTTGTCATTACTTTTCCTTTCAGCCATTTCATTCGATCCAGCTTGTTTCTCATATCTGCTCATTGATCCTGTTTTGTTTCTTTGGTCCAAGTTGGATAAATATGAATTTCTTCTAAAGTTCATTATTTCTTTAATCTCTCTCTGATGAAGAACTCATTACACTTAAGGGCTGCTTTTTATGAAATCAAGAAATGAGAGAATAAGAAAAAAGGATTTTAAAATTACATCCAAATTATTCAAACATCCTGTACAGAAACCAGTAGTGAAAAGATTCTTGTCTTAGAATAATGTTCTCAGATACCCAAATTCAACCAAACTCAATTATCTATTGGATTGCTTTATATAGATTGTGTTCTTTTTCTTCAGTTCTAATAATGATAATGGTTTACTGATTATGAAAAAATACCAATATTCACATTTATCCAATATATACTAGCTGTTTCAGGATTATAGCAGTCAAAATAAAGTGTGTCTTAGAATGAAAGAAATGGAAGACAAAGTAGGATTCAGATAAGGGAGGTAACTCTGATGATAATGATGTCATGCTTTTCATAAAACCTATAATAACTGATTGTGTAACCATGAGTAATTCAAAAAAGGGAAAAACTATTAAAAAATAATCCATATAAATGTACTTCCTTGCTGAAGAAATGAACTTTAGAAATCATTATTTCTCCGTTAATAAAGAAATGGCTGATCTCTCTGTATCTACTTTTCACTATTGCCTATTTGTGTATCACTCTTTAGATGTAGATATAAGATCAGTACATAGCATTTTTAAATCACTTTATCTAGAATCTACATCTTATATAGATTTTATCAGCCTTACTAAGAAGAATTCGAAAGTTTGGTCTGATTTTGTGGGTTGGAGCTTTTTTTGCCATCATCTCGAATATTTATTTGATCTTTTTCTTTTGTGTATCATATCCCTTCGTGATGAGGACAGTTATGGCTCTCTCCAACTTTCTATCCATTGTATCTCATATTAATGCTTTCCTTTTTGCCATCTCTCCTACCAAGTGTTCCACCACCCATTCACACAATTTAAGCAGTAGGTAGCTTGCTGCCCACCACTGTCATTTCTACCTTCGATATGTTGTGTGTGTTAAATTCTCCAAGCCTTCTTTCCTCATTATGTATTGAAGAAATTCCAGCTACCTCTTTCTGATTCCATGTTTAGTCTAGCATGCTTCTATCTATCTATCTATCTATCTATCTATCTATCTATCTATCTATCTATCTATCTCAGCCAGTACATTACTGTTTATTTATCATTTTTTATGCTATAATTCACCCAATACAATGCCCAACAATGTACAGGGTTACTAAATAAGGTTGTTTTCTTGATGCAAGAGAAGGTAAGAGTTGTAGATCATGAGGATAGGTAATGGCTGACCTTAGACTTGAAGAGGATAAGATTGTATTGGTTGAGGAAGTACGCTCTTAGAGATCTGTTCCATAAACAGCAGCTCATGGGAAGGAACTGTTCAAATGGAAATTCCTTCTTACCAATGGAATATGAAACAAATTAGGATGATTGAATCCTGTGTACATAGCATGGTAAGTCCATGCTGTAAAGGCCTGAGCTAGTACAATTAAAGAATGTAACTCACCAGGCTTAAGTAACAATAGATTTGTGATACTGGATTCTGCAGGAATGAGGTTGCAGGGTTAAAAATTATTCATCAACTACAAGGCCACATAAATATTTTAGTATAACAATTTTATTTTTATTACTTTTAAAATGTTATTTTTTAAATAATGTTTAATTGCCTAGGTTGTTTTTTTTGTATATTTTTAAGAAGGCCAAACTGTTTATATAAAAAATTGTTACACTTTTGTATCTTTCTCAGCTCAGCAGTTAAAAACCAACAAAATTGTGAAGTATCCATTTCAATATCTGTTTATATCTCTGAGATGAGGTATTATGATTATTTACATTATTTACATTATTCAGACTGTTATCCTCATCTTCATTGCCTTATTCACAACTCTTTGTGTCTAGTCACTGGATCTAACTAATGTCTTTATCCACTGGGCCATGTTGTGGGTTCAATACCAGGCTACAGCAGTGGTGAACCAAAAACCTTAAGAATTGAGTTAAAGAGATATAACTGAAACATCCAGAAGAGACATGGCATGTAGAACTAGAACAATCTACCCCAGTGGATGAAATAGAGGGTTCAGTTTGAAATTCCAATCACTGGAAAAAGACCGGAGCCTACAACAGCCAAAACATTGTGAATATGGCAATGAAGATGAGAATAACAGTCCGAATAATGTAAATAATGCAAGTAATCATAATGCCTCATCTAAGAGATATAGACAGATATATAGAGAGACATAGACATAAAGGCCAGAGCGTACAACGGCCGAAACGTGAATATGGCAATGAAGATGAGAATAACAGTCCGAATAATGTAAATGATACATTTCAAATTTATAGAAAATTATTTTTTTGTACATACTAACCAATGAGTGACGGAGTCTCAAGAACCTAGTAAGAACCTGAATGGGGGATTTCTGTGAGCCTATTTTTTCAAATAAATAGAACTCAGGTCAGTGGATGAAGGAAAGAAGACTTTTTGACAGCAAAGTGACAAGCCAAGTCAACATCAAGGAGCAGAAGGCATTTGATATCAAGAAGAGAGTATCAAAAAGACACAAAGTGACTACCCAGCTGCAGAGAGACTAAAGAGTTTTTAACCCTAGAACACTAACCATGGGTATATAGTACCCAGCGCAAATTTTCCTATTTTTAATTACAGTTTTCAGTATCTGATTTTCTTACCTAAATAATATGTTTTTCAGTTCCTATTAACTGTTAACTTAAAGTACAAAGTACAAAGTTTGAAGTTTCAATATCGGGTATGATATACCCATGGTTAGTAGTGGTGTAACTTTAATTGATGGTTAGTGTTCTAGGGTTAAAGAAGTTCAAGTGAAAATTCTTCTGCAGTTGCACAACAAAGAAATTTTCCCTAACACGAACAGTGTGAATTTAAAAGTGATTTTTCTAAAGTTGCTATATGTCCCAGAGATACTCATGGTGCCAAGTAAAAGTAAGTGTTTTTATTTTTTCTGAAAGGTGGTTGCATCTTTGTTTTTCTGCCTTCTTCAATTGTTTTCTCTTTTTGTCACTGAATCCTTGTCTTTTCATAAACTGTGACCCTTTTTTTCATTTTTCAATGGTAATCATTTTTTGAAATATCAGAAACTTGTTCTCTTGCCTTAATAGGCACACAAAAGGAAATTTTTGTGCAAATTTTGTATTTCTACCTTTTTTGTCTTTACTTGTGTAATAAATGTTTTTCCTTTAAAATTTTACACAGTGGCTGTGTCTCATTTTGTTTTATTTTTTTTTTATTCCTACTAACTAGGTTTTTGTTTTCAGCACAAGAATTTAAATTTGGTAAGGAGTTAAAATTTTTATATTTGAACTCTTGTCAAGAGGATTGGGCAACAATATTACATTTTTGGTCTCTTTTGATCTCTGCAAAGATAAAATATGATAGGAGCCAGTTTCTTTCTGGAATGATATAAGGAGCTAACCATTTTCCAGCATCTTTAACTATGGATCATGAACCCAAATAGATGCTCATAGCAAAGAGCATCTTTAAAAGTGCACCGATATATCATGACTGCTTAGAATTCAGTGACAGCTTTATGATGGTGAAAAACTACTAACTCAGTTTTGAGGCATTGAAAGTTCATAAGCCAGTTTTAACCTCATTGGCATGTTGGAGCTAGGTCAGAAGTGAGGTCAGATGCTGACCTTTGGTCATCTAGATTTAAAGAGATGCACCCATTGACTGTAGTATCATGTGTCTGCTTGTCTATTTATTTATCTGCCTTAGAATCTATCTACCTTGGCCAGACCATATATATATATATATATATATATATATATATTCTGTTCCTTTCCTTATCTATCAGAATACTAAGTTTACATTTGATACCAGTAATAAAGAGTTTGAGTTTCAAGAAAAATCAAATTTTAAATCTAAATCTTACTCTATCTCATTCTGTTCATTATTTACCTCTATATCTGTCTCATTCTATTCATTATCTATCTATCTATCTATCTATCTATCTATCTATCTACACACACATATATATATATATATATATATATATATATATCAATCTATTCATTATCTATATCATTCTATTCATTATCTCTTTCTATTTCACTCTCTTCATTATTTATCTATATTTCTATCTCATTCTAGTCATTATCTATCTATAAATCTATCTATTTATTTATCTACCACATTCTATTCATTATCTATCTATATATCTCATTCTATTCATTGTCTTTCTTTCTCTCTCTCTCTCTGTATCTCATTCTATTCATTATTTATCTATATATCTATTTAATTCTATTCATTATCTATTTAATTCTGTTTATTATCTCTCTCTCTCACTCTATCTCTCTATCTCTCTCTCTCTATATATATATTTGTATGTGTGTCTATCACATTCTATTGAATATCTATCTATATATCTCATCCTATTAACTATCACTCTATCTGTCTCATTCACTTCCTTATTTATCAATATATTTATCTCATTCTATTCATTACCTATCTATCTATCTATCTATCTATCTATCTATCTATCTATCTATCTATCTATCTATCTATATATATATATATATATATATATATATATATATATATATATAATATAATATAATAAGATTAAGTTTTCATTCAATACCAGGAATAAACAGTTTCAATTTCAAGAAAAAACAGAATTCTAAATTTAAGGGCTTTCTGAAAAATACGTATATAGGGGTATTCCATAAACTTAAAATCACTATATTTACGTACTTAAAAAATCTGTTATACTAATGTCATATAAATATTTTTGGCTTGTTTCTCATATCTGCTCATTGATCCTGTTTTGTTTGTTTTGTCCAAGTTGGATAAATATGAATTTCTTCCAAAATTCTTATTTGTATCTTCTTTGATACCAAATGAGTTTCAATAATATATAACAATCATGTGAAAGTCGACTGCTAAGTAAGATATAATGAGCAGGTGTTCTGTATGTATGTCTGTGTGTCTGCTAACTTCTGTCAATTTATCTGCCAATTCAGATATATAATCTGCAAGAGATTATTGAAATATGTAATTGTCTTGGGGAAAATTATTCAAGTTATTGATCAACTGATCTGTTTATTTCTTTATTGATCAATATCCATAATTACTTAAATATTATATCTATTGAACAAACTTACTGTACATGGAAACAATACATATTTATACATACACACACATATAAATATGCACATGCATGTGCAGTCATGTATCAGAGAGAGCTTAGTGGTTAAAGCAGTAGCAAGTTTGTGTTTGGTTCCAATAGTTTGGGCTCAAAGATTGGTTTGTTTGGTTTATTTTGTTTTACGACATATAAACCTGAATAGGTTATTTAATGCCAACAAAGTTTTTTATTGCTGGTAATGTTTTGTTTTGTCAAAAATCTGCTTCTGGTAATATATTTCCTTCAAAATTGTATTGCTGGTAATAGTTAACTATTTTCCCATAGCTGGGACCCTAACAGATGCTACCACCCTGGTTCAGGGTGAACCTGGGAACACCAGCAATTAAATGGTGGTTACATGCTTCTCAAAACCTTCTGATCAGAGGCCTTGCTGCTGGATGTATTTTAATATCTTACCCAGGACACAGATGTAGTTTAACGTCTTAACCAGGACGATTATGCGCAAAGAAAATGCTAGAATACAAATGTTTTTTTCAAAACAAAGAATTCTACTCTTTGGTACTGAAGATAAAGGCTACAAACCTGAATGTAAAGATTCAATCTTTGGAGCTTATGGTAAAGGCTAGTAAGAAAAATATTGTTTGAAAATTGGAGAGATCCATGTTTGGTTCACAGGGTAAAGATTAGGATTCTAAATATTCTTTTTCAATCAAAGGGAGATCCATGCTTTCATGCTGAAACTGAAGGCTAAGAATCAAAATGAATCTGGTTGAACATAACTTCTTGTAGTTTTCAGGTAAATTTAATGTTCTATAAATCACAAGAATTTTCTTTCTGGAAAGATACCTTTTAAAATCAAAGAAATCCAATCATTTAATCTAAAGTTAAAGGTTAGGAATCAAATATTTCATTCAAACTAAAGAGACACTTTGATGATGAAGATGAGTGCAGAATTCCAAATGTTTTCAAACCATAGAAATCCAATTTTAGAAACTCAAGGAAAGGTTTGGAATTCAAATGTTTTTAGAAGTCAGATACATCATCTCCCTGTTGCTCAAGGTGAAAGCTAGGAAAGAAAAGATTGTTTTCAAACCAGAAAGATTCATCATTTGCTGATCTAATTACAGGCTTGGAATCCAGATGTTGTTTACAAATCAGAAGAATTTACATTTGGAGATTATGGTAGAGACTTGGAATCCAGACAGTTAACAAATCAGAAGATTTACACTTTGGAGTTCATGGTAATAGCTAGGAATCTAAATGTTGTCTCCAAATCAGAAGAATTTACACTTTGGAGATCATGGTAAAGGCTAGGAATCCAGATATTGTTTAAAATCAGAAAAAAATTACATTTGGAGATCATGGCAGAGGCTTGGAATCCAGACGTTTACAAATCAGAAGAATTTGCACTTTGGAGATCATGGTAGAGGCTTGGAATCCAGACATTTACAAATCAGAAGAATTTATACTTTGGAGATCATGGTAAAGGCTAGGAATCCAGATATTGTTTCCAAATCAGAGATCCATTCTTCAAAAGGCAACAAAAAACACTTCATTTTATTTTCCTTATGTCTAAATTATAATTGCTTCTGATATATTTTTCAGAATATAACCTGATTAAAATAACCACAATATGATATAATTTTATCAGTTTAAGTCAATGAAATCTCTTTCAGAGAGAACTTATACAGAGTTTTACTCAAATGTTGTGTGTATTTAACTATGAAAAAGAATATGAAAAAGAATATGCTGTATATTTTCACCTTCTTCTATAAAGTGGTTTTATTCTGAGCCAGACTAACTCATCATAATGAAGAGTGATGAAAAAGTTCAAATGGTTGGATTTAACCAAAAAGAAGAGTTTAGCTTCAATTAATTTAATTCAAAATGATTGCTTTTGCTTAGTGAGCTACACACACAAAAAATAACCTCATGTCATTGATTTTGTAAATTTTAAAATCAGTAGTAGTAATCTTGTAGTAGAAAACCATATGAGGAAAAAAAAAAACCCAAAGAGGAAGAATAACTGACCAAATCATTCTATTTTGTTTTTAAAATATTATAAGCTCAGAAGCTCTAGATAAAGATATAAGCAAAATCGGCAACCCATGTGTCAATAGACGCACTTACTTCAGAAAGATTCTGCTTTGGCTATTGGTGACTTCAAAAGGACTGTCATCAACCATCTACTGACTTTTACCAACAAAATATTCAACTGAAGCATTAAAAATCATTTGCATCAACTTTGTTTTCATATAAGTAAAAAATATTTAAAAATACTCAACTCTACTTCTGTGAGAAATTTGGGCACTTCAATATGGTGTAATGGTTAGCAAGCTTGTCTCGCTAAATCAATTATGACTGAATAGGGAATTTGATCTTCATTGGGTGCTCCATGCTTTCAGCCTTGTGCCATGTCTAAACTATGTTTAATAAATTGCTTGAGCACTTCAATATGGTGTAATGGATAGCAAGTTTGTCTAGTCGTGAGTTCATTCCTCACTGGGTGCTCCATATTTCTGCCTTGTGCCATTGGAAATTTTACAAATTTGAAAACAAGGCAAAATGAATCAGCAATCATCATACCAAATCTTTATCTCTTTTTTTTTTTATCATTTCACCCAAAGCAAGGCAATAAAGCCACTAAGATGCAAGAGGCTATTGAGTGAGAGAATATGAGAAAAAGAAAGTGATGCAGAGTTTATGGTGGAAGGGGAAAAAATCCTCTACTATAAGTTTCTTCTGGAGAGGGAAATGATTGATTAAAACTGTTCCGAGTTTAAGATAGGAATTGATGAAAACCATCTGGAATCATTCAAAACACAAAGTGTAGCATTTCATCGAGACAATTCTTGACTGCATTTTTCTTTTCTCACTCAGATAAACTTGTTGCAACTCGTTTGGGAAGTCTAATTCACCAGTTATTTCTACTTTATATTACCATTTGTTCTTAATATTTTACAGAATTTTCTTAATTAAAAAGGTCTGGATCATTATCATTAACCGATATAGATAATATTAGTGGTCAATATATATATATATATATATATATATATATATATATATATATTTTGTATACATAAATTCCCAAGAGGACAGAATCCAGGTAGAACTCAATGTCCAGGACAGAGTAAGACTATAATATAATATTATATACAGGTACAGGTATATAGTGGTACAGATTCAGAGAGTGATCTTAATATATATCATCATTATGTAGCCGTAAGCTTTTTCTAACAAATGGATTCCTATATGTACATTCCAGCATATTGATTTCTTTTCCTATCAACATTAGAATTCCTCAGTGTCAAAGTCTTTTCATCAATACCCTCTTTTCACAGCTTAAATGATTCTTGTTGACATTTGTGTGACAGATTCAGTCTAAAACAAAATGACTTTATAATTTTTATTCTTTCTTAAGTCCTTCCCTATGGTATTATTTAATTCAGGCATTTTTTAAAAATTTTTACTTAAGCCTGCATTACCTTATGCAAGCCCTTGGCTTTCTGCATTTACAAAAAATAGTTCATTATGTTCTTATATACTGGACATACAATCACAACAGACAAAATTATGTGTTTCTATTGTCATGTATGAAGGGGAACATAACACACCTGATATCCCTATATATATGTATATATGTGTGTATATATATATATATATATATATATATATATATATATATATATATATATATATATATATATATTTTAAGACATTTTATGTTTATGCATTCTTTTATAGATACAAATATTTAAGTAAATGGTCTGTTTATAATAAACAGTATTAATAACATTTACTGACCCGAAATATTCATCCTCCGACAGGAATTGAACCTGTATCTTATCTTAAAAAGAATGTATAAACATAAAAATGTCTTAAAATAATTGTCAGACTTTGTCCATTTCATAATATATATATATATATATATATATATATATATATATATATATATATATTCATGAATTATTCACACAAAAGCAAATGCAAAGGTTAATGATTTAATTGGTGAGAAATCCATCGTCGCAAACAATTCAAATAATATACAAAAACCTCCGAACCTGTTATGAATGAAAAGATCCTTGTTTCTATAAATTTCTGCTGCATTAG